AAACAAGTAAAACAACCAAGCAATACCCCTATACCCACCAATAATCCCCTTCAAGAACAAAACCGATAAAATCGGCAAAAAGAAAATCAAATAGTTCAATTTTTAGCATCCTTTGGTGCAGTTCCAGCCACAGTCAGCAGGGCGCGCCGTCGGGTCACTGGAGATGCAAAATTTGTAATGTCTTATACCATTCACCAGGTGGCGCTGTTGAGTTATCAAAAAGTGCAGAACTTGTAATGTTCTATAGTAATCACCAGGGGGCGCTGTTGGATCACTGGAGGAGTAGAACTTGCAATGTCCAGCACCCGTCCCCGGGCGGCGCTGTGGGATCCCTGGTCGCCGCCGGGTGGCGATGGAGGAGGGGGGAAGGGGGAGGGAAACAGAAAGCTCTCCCAATGGAAGAAAACTCACGATTTTCGGTTGGTGAGGACCCTGCGGTGAGCCAGGCCCGTAACCAGCAAACAGCTGCGCAGAGAACAGCAGCAAAAAAACTCTCCTCCGACAGGCAAAAGACAAAGAAGCAACCAGGTAGTCTCTCCTGCTTGCTGCAGCCTCCCCTCCGGCTCCAGAGCTGAGCTCCAACCCCCAAACCCCACCTCTTTCCATACACACACCCTGGCCTTTTTCCCACTTCCTCCCCCTTCGTTGCTAGGAGATTAATGTCTGGTCATTTAGGGCTCAGGCCAACTCCTTTGTTTATCTGATGGCCCATTAACACATACACGCAGGAGGGGGAAGGGGAAAGGAAAGACAAAATATCTTGCTAAAATCAGAACTATGACACCATCCCCTTCCAAACCCCTGCCGTGGGCAGGGGCACCTTCCAACAGCCCAGGCTGCTCAAATGCCATGGCTGGGGCAGGGAAGGACTCCTGGTGGGATCACATCCTGCTCAGCTGCCGTGCTGCATGGACACAACACCCAGGACAGGACGGGGCTGGGCCAGGGGAGTTTTAAATTGGACATTAGGAGGAATTTCTTCGCAGAAAAGGTGATTAGACATTGGAACGGGCTGCCCACGGAGGTGGTGGAGCCACCGCCCTTGGAGGTGCTTAAAGGAAAGACTGGACATGGCACCCAGTGCCATGATGCAGCTGACGTGGTGGTGTTTGGCCACAGGTTGGACTCGATGACGTCAGAAGCCTTTTCCAACCTAATTAATCCTGTGATCCTGTATTACGTGTTCCATCTAAACCTACCCGTAGCTATCAAAGATACTCCCCGTATGTGGTGGGAAGCCCGGGGTTTGGGGCTGTGCTGCACGGGGACCAGCTGGGCCTTTACACGCTGCCCGGGGGATGTGCAGGAGCAGGGACACAGCGCCGGGAGCCCACCGGGTCGGGCTGCGACCCCCGACCCTGCTCCCGTCCCCGCTCCCGTTCCCGCTGCCGTCCCCATGGCAACCGCGCCGCCGTGCGCCAGGGGGCGCGCGCGGCACCCGAACCCCGACACCGCCCCCCCAAAAACCGTCCCGAACCCCCCCGGCTCTGCCCCGACCCCCCCCCGGGCACCCTCGGCCCGACCCTCCCTGAGCTCTGCCCGCGGCTGGGCACGGGCAGCGGGAACCCCTCACCCCTGGCCCCGCTGGCGCGGCCCGTCCCGCTGCCCTGCAAAGTCGCCGGGGCTGTCACGCAGGCGAGGCAGGGACTCTGCGGCACCTGCCTGCAGGTGGGCACGGGCAGGGTGGGCAGGGGTGGGCACGGATTAGGGTGAGTATGGCGGGATAAGGGTGAGTATGGCGCTGGCAGAGGTGGGCACGGAGCGGGCAGGGCAGGGCAGGGGTAGGTATGGCGCAGGCAGGGGTGGGCAGCGGTGGGCGCGCTGCCGGGCGCTTCGCCGCGCGGCCGCACAGACCTTCCTTGATGGAGCAGGACAAAGGTTTTGTTCTTCTCCCAACAGTGCAGCCTTGTGCGGCCGCGGGCAGCGGCGACAGGCAGCAGTCAGCGCGGCCC